TTTTTAGTTCTGTAATATTATTTGATTGAAGAATGTATGATAAAAAAGAGAAGATAGAAAAATGTATTCAAATTTTAAAGGGTTTCAAACAAGAGCTAATTATATCATAGTTTTACAACACTTTCACTTTGATGATTGTTTGCACAATAATTGCTTCATTAAAAATCTAGTTTGGCAAAAATACAATGGGAAAGAATACCAAATGATGAAAGAAAGAGTACAAGTATTTTTAGAGTAATAAAATGCTATCTCGTTAAAATTTTGTCAAGAAAATCAAATGAGAAAAAAATTGAGTTAAGGAGTAGAGGACATCTGCTCTCCCAAATATTGATGAGTGAAAATTTTTGTTTCAAGTCATCTAAATGTTTTAACATTATCACAATTCTTGAAATTATGTTTCTTATTGTCTTGTTATAACATTCAAGCACTATTATCTTTGTACGAAATATTCATCAACCTTCGATGACTATAATAACACGATGATTTAGAAACGGTCCTTATTATTCTCTCCAAAAGTCACATACATATAAGAGTATTATTTAAGGGTAAAATGTCTTGTAAGTTATGAACATTTATTATACAAAGAATATGTTTTGTTAAAACCTTATTTTGTAAAATCATGTAGGGAAAATCCTAATGAAGGAAAAAAAGTACATTATTCATTTGAATACGTCACAAAAATTACCTTATTAAAAGCCTTGTCAGGAAACCTAATGGGACAAAACTTTAGTCAAAGGAAAAAATAGTACGAAATGTATTTATTTCCCTCACGATACTATCACTCGAATTATATGTTTCAACCATAATAAATCATTCAGAGATAACACTAATAATCATGTTAGATAAGTTGGTAATAACTACATTTCAAATTTCATGCATTGTTTGAATAATAAGATATAGACTTGTGATTGTATCCACCACGATCTTTTTCCTCGTGTAATACATATTATGACTTCATTTTTCTCAATTCTTTTCCAATAAGTATACACATTTAGATTTTCGGTTTGCATGCTCAAAAACCTCAAGTTTCTCAAATATATTCGATTTTACTAGAATTGCGTTCCTTTATTTGACCAATGATTTCTTCGATTGATATGCTTTAACGATTTTATTTAGAAATCTTCAGTATTGATAATATGAAACTCTACATTGTGTACAAAATTATTATCAACAACTTTTTCATTTTGATTCTATTTCTTTTTTTACAACGACATAATTTATTGAGATATATTTTACTACTATCAATATTTCAAGTACTAAAACCTCTTTTGAAGTTCTATAATTAATTATGTCTATATACTCTCCAAATGTATACACCTCTGAATGAGACCATCTTTACTATTTACTTCAATTCCCTTTTTGGAAATTATGTCTTGGAATCGAAAGTCATCATGTTTTATGCGTGTCATTGACTTATAAGGCATAATGCCAATGAAATGTCTTTCAAGGACGTCAATTCAAATTGGAACATTTAAAAGCTAATGTGTGAGATATTATTATATTCTTCTTGATCAGTAAATGCATTTAAGTGAATTATATTTATAACTTTTAGATCGAATTATCTTTTGCGAGGATCTACATGATAAAATAATGTATTATGTATATAACTTCTCAGCTTCTTAATTTCTCCTCTAATGCTAGGAAAATTGTTCAATCAAATTGACAATCAGCAAAACACGTCATAAAATATCACTTGTTAGATCTTGAGATATCGTATAAGGATTTAAATTAAGCATTTATTCTCAACATCCTTTATTTTTTTTTATCTTAGTGTATTGTTGTGGATTAATTATACACATGTTGCACTATCAATATAATTAGATGAAAAAATTAGTCTCTGACCATAAACCAGATACAATGGGTAAAAACTTTGTTATTAGCATGATGCTAATAGCATTCTCAAGATAGAGTTAGGAACACTTTGTTCTCAATAGTAATAGTTTAGGAACTAATTGAAGGCGTTTAATAAATAATAATGTTAAATTGTCTATCATCATCTCAACTAACATCCATTTGCATAAACAAGATACACCTTATTGGGTGTATAATCTGACAAATATACTCATTATTTATAATTTGCAAGGTAATTTTACAAACTCTAGGTTATAAGCACCAAGCAATTATCTAATAGATATATCATTTTGTTAGATACAAATAATATCTAAATAGTGAACATGGACCCCATATATTACCCTAATTAATTTTGAAGATAATAGATTATTTTTCAAAAAAACTTTAGTTAGTTATGATCAAGACCAATTTATAATACAGAGAGCAAGTATTATATGAAAATTCAATAAATTGAAAAATCTTCTAATTCTTCATTGAATGTTCATTTAAATTCACAGTTGCTCATCATTATTGTTCTAGAAATTGTCCAACTGTTTATGCATAATAATACATTCATCAATTGAACTTTTGATTCAATATAGTAGTTGTTTCAATTGTACCAATATCTGTATAGTATTAATCATAACACAAATTTAGAAACTTTATGTTCTCTTTAGTTTAGTGTTTATACTAAGAACTAAGGCCCATATATATACAGTCCAAAATGAAAGTTAGGAGTATAATAAATTCTTCTAGGCTAAATAGGACTTACCTATTTAAAGACTAAATAATCATCAATAATTATCTCATAGTCTTACAAATTATTTTTTTTTTGGATCTATTTAAAGTTAACAAATAAGCCTTTAAGTGTCTTGACCATTTTGCCCTCCATTAAAGATGGAATGCAGTCCACATAACTCATTTAGCCCTTATTTGATCCCCATTTTGGGGAAAATAATGTATTTTAAATAGTAGATTTATGATAATGTGTGTCAAAAAATTAAGGAAAATGCGTATAATATTATTTTATTGAAAAATGTATGGTTGAAAATGAATTTTGAAAAAAAATGAATTTTTAGAAGAATAAAAATCAAACAAGGGTTTAATGGAAAAATCTATAGATTCTGCCACTAGGGACAAGTTTTGCTAAATTCTAGTTGGGATTGTCTAGAGTAAAAAATCGTAGGTACGAAAATCTAGAGCAAAAATCGTAGGTATGGAAATCTGAGAATTTTTGAAAAGGTTGTTGAATAACATAATTGATTTTCTGTCCACCGTGGGTAGAATAATAATTGTCCACTGTAGTCGTAGCCATATCAACGATCAAGCCTTATTTTTAATTTTTTTTAGAAATATCTAACTTACTGATGTGACAAAGTAGATATTATAACTTGAATAATTCTTCTCAAACAAGGTCACTCGGGCCCTGTTTTTCCAATGCCCCCCCCTATTCGCAGGATGTTTGTCGAAAAAAGGACTCATGTGGCCTTGTTTATGTAACAGCACTTTTATAACTCTTGTCCACAATGGAGTGGGATCAATCCTATGTTAAATAAAGCCGATATTTACTTGAAGTTGAAACATACAAGTTGAAATCCCACTTGAATTTTTACTCTCCTCATAATTTCCCAGTTGAATAAACAGGACCACAAGGGTCCTGTTTATGTAACAACACTCTTATAACTCTTGTTAACAATGGAGTGGGACCATTCCTATGTTGAATAAAACCAATATTTACCCGAAGTTGAAATATACAAGTTGAATAAACAGGACCAATGTGGTCCCGTTTATGTAACAGCACTCTTGTAACTCTTGTTCACAATGGAGTGGGATTATTTCTATGTTGAATAAAACTAAAGGAAAATTGCAGCTGAGATATCAAATATTTCGTTTATTAGCAGACATTGTTCAAACCTTTCGTTCGTGCCACCGGATGTACCAAACCTTCAAAAAATTAGTACTCGGAGTTCAAATTGATAGAAACCGTTAGTTTGACTGTTATTGATCAAAAATTAAAGGTCTGACCAATTGTTGACTGATTTTTAAAGGGGAAAATATGTAACTTTACATTTTCATATAAAAAATTTAAATGAAAGAATTATATTTAAAACCAAAAAACAAAAAATTTATATAAAAGAACTATATTTAAAACCAAAAAACAAAAAAATAAAAAACTCCAATCATCATCTCCACTCACCCCCCCCCCCCCCCTCCCCACCCCCAAGAAAACCAAAAACCAGTTTGGTAAATGAACAAAACCAATTTGCACTTCCAGAATGACTAGCTCCGATGAGAATGGTCACTGAGAGGAGAAATGGGAGGAGAAGAAGATGATATAGTGGGAATATTTGTAGGATTTGAGGGGTTGTTTGGGAAGAAATGGAATTGAGGGTTCCAGTGGAAGAGAGTAAAAGGGGGCCCCAAAAAAAAAAAAAATACCAATAAATGAAATGGGCATTCGATGGGTTTTTATTTTCTTTCTCCCAAAAACTAGTCCATACAAATGCACTGGTATTCGATGGGTTCTTGTCGATGGGCAAAGAAGGATTTTAATTTTATTTCTTCTAGATTTTACTGATTTTTGGAGAGTGAGGAAAATGAGTTACAAGGTTTGAAATTAGCTTTTGAGATTTCAGTTAAGCTTTCGGCGAGGGTGAGGAAGTCAGTGAGATTCCAATTTTTTTATTTTATTGGCAGATATGTGGTTTTTTATTTTGGGTGGGTAGAGAAGATGACTTTTAGTTTTGGGTGGGTGGAGAAGATGATTGTTTTTTTATTTTTTATTTAAATTTTTAATATGAAAATGTAAAGTTATATATCTGTCCCATTAAAAATCAGTCAACAATTAGTTAGACCTTTAATTTTTGGTCAATAATAGTCAAACTAACGGTTTCTGTCAATTTGGACTCCAGGTGCGAATTTTTTGAAGATTTGGTACCTCTGTTGGCACAAATAAAAAGTTTGGATAAAATCTACTAATAAATGAAAGATTTGGTACCTCAACTACAATTTTCCCTAAAACTAAAACCGATATTAACCTGAAGTTGAAATCCCAGTAGGATATTTGCTCTACTCACGATTTCCCAAGTGAAAAAGACGGCGGCATTTTATGGCCCCACAACTCACCTCAGCTACTCTGCTCTCGTTCTCTATATATGCATCATCCCAGGGGTTCCTAGAGTCCCCCCAACCGCCATACCCCATTTCCACAACCTCATTTAGGGGAAGAAACCACTTTCCTCCGCCACCGCCTTCTTCCTCTATTTATCCATTTCATACGCACATACATTTACATAAAACTTAAATGGAACGCCTCCGCCTCTGCTCACGAGTCCTCCTACTAGCACTCACAAATTTCCTCATATCAGGTAAATTGGGGTTCTTTTCTTTCCTTTTTCATATAATTGAAGTGCAAACAGTATCGAACATGATAACTCGTCTTGTCCACTACTATATACTGCAAACTGTTTAAAGAATTTTATATGTTTTTACGTGATTTAACCTTTTAGTCTTGTGATTTTGTAATGCAGAAGTGCATTCATCAGCCACATTTACAATAGTAAACAAGTGTGAGTTCACAGTTTGGCCAGGCATTTTATCAAACGCCGGGATTGCACCACTTCCTACCACTGGTTTTGCTCTGCAAAAGGGGGAGACAAAAACCATGGCTGCGCCGTCTTCCTGGGGTGGCCGCTTCTGGGGTAGGACACACTGCAGTGAGGACTCAGCAGGCAAATTCTCTTGTGTTACTGGCGATTGTGGCTCCGGGAAGTTGGAATGCTCTGGCGGTGGAGCTTCTCCTCCGGCTACCCTGGCGGAGTTCAAAATCGACGGAGACGGTGGCAAGGACTTCTACGACGTTAGCCTTGTAGATGGGTATAACCTCCCAATGCTTGTAGTCCCCCAGGGTGGATCCGGCGATAACTGTACAACCACGGGATGCGTGGTGGACATGAACGGCGCGTGCCCTTCCGAACTCCGCGTGACAGGCGTAGGCGGAGAGAGGGTGGCTTGCAAGAGCGCGTGCGAGGCTTTCGGCAAAGAGCAGTTCTGCTGCAGCGGCGCGTATGGTACACCCGACAGTTGCAAACCATCGACGTACTCGCAGATGTTCAAGAGTGCATGTCCACTCGCCTATAGCTACGCTTACGATGACAAGTCCAGTACCTTCACATGCACCGGGGCCGACTATTTGATAACCTTCTGCCCATCCCCAAGTGCAAGGTAAATTTACTAATAAACCCATGCATAACCTAATTTTTAGTCATTTTAGAATGGGTAGTTTTGTCCGTTCGGAATTCATTAGGACCAATCAGTTTAGAGCTCAAATTTTCTTTACATTAATTATTTGATTTAGATCAAATTCCTGATTAATATTGTTCTGGTGCAGTCAAAAATCATCATCGGATGGGCAAGGCCCGGAATCCGGATCCGACGAGAGCAACACTTCACCATTTGACAACAGCTCAATGGTGTACGAAGGAGCGTTGGAGGTGAGTGCAGCACCGTCTACGTGCATAGACGTGGTTAGGGGGCAGGCGGTGGCCGTTGCCGTCGCCATCACGGCAGCGATGTGGCGACTGCCTCAGCCATTTTAGCTTTTTCTATCCCTTTTTATCTGAATCATCCATCCACTGCCGCTCATTGTGGGCCCATTGGAACTTGTCGGATGTTGGGTTATGCGTCAGATGTGGCCCAGCCCTTTCTTCTCATGGGCGTCGTGATGTTCAAGTGGCCCATGAATATGGTCCATGTGATGAGGAAATGAGTCACCTTGAAAATCATAGAAAAAAGATGATCAGACAGAAAAATAGGTAGAAAGTTGATACAGATCACGAGATGAGAGGCGGTGGCTGAGAATTTTTTATAATTATGATTTCTTATTTTATTATTTTAATTAAGATAGACGAGACATCTATTTAATAGATTAGAAGTTAGAACAATATAATACTCGAATATAGTTGAACGTGGCAAAAACGAAATCATTTATCATTAAAATTTTCTTCTACGTTCTGACCATTAATTTGAAGTTCATACTACCTTCGATGGATTGGTAGGATAATTTATATTATTCTGATTGATGTAAGGATAACACATAATTTTTTGCACATTATGTATTCATACACTCATATGGGATGGCGTTCACTCGAATAAAATATTCGAGTGGGCTTCATCCCATGTGAGTGTATGGATACATAATGTGCAAAAAATTATGTACAAGTGCTATCATTACATTTATTCGAGTGGGCTTCATCTCATGTGAGTATGAGACACCTTGATGTAAAAAAAATTATATGCACCAAACAAAACCTTTAATGTAAATATTCGAGCAGGTTTCACCCCATGTGAGTGTGGAACATTTCAATGTACACAAAAATTATGTACACCAAACAAAGCCATTTGATGTAATTGAATGAACGGGATTAATTCAAAATGATAGAAGAACCTAGCAACAAAAGAGCCCTGAAAATAAGGGATAATGTCACTCGATTGGTGAAAGGGATGTCGAATATAATTTTCTTATCATCTTTGTCTTTTTTGTTTATGCATTTTTGTCAAGAAATGAGAAAGTAGCTTGTTTTGTAGTAAAAATTGAATTATCAAATAATTGGATAATGTGAATTAAGCATTGGGGTGTCATCATAAATGGGGTTGGGTCTGCTTGCACTTCACTACCTAGCGACTTACCAACAACTAAGCACAATGTACAATTATTAGCGTCATAAAGTTATTCTCTCCCATTTTTGTAGGGGACAACTGCAAATTGACCTCTGTGCATTAAAGTTGGAACAACGCACAAAATTAGAAACATTATGAATTGTCAGTAATTAAGTAACAACTGTGCAGTTAAATTACGAATAAATTAGGAACAAAATTCATGCTCAATTCAATATCTAAGGCCCACTTGAAATTTGTAGAAGAGAAGGGTACACTTTTCACGAGATTCCAAGAATAAAATGTCTGAATCATCACTCAGTAGCTATTTTTGAGTGTTTCATTATATCCAAATAGATACACTATGCTTACAGGAAATTGTGAAACAGGTCCCTATCAGGCAAGAAACAAGTGGAGGTGGGCCTCACATTTAAAAAAATAAATAATATATATATATATATATATATATATATATATATATATATATACATATATACACACACACACGTGAGGGCGGCCCCCAAATAGTGTGAAACACTGCACCTGTAAGTGCAGTGTTTTTCTATCCATATCTTGACCATGGACGATTAACACATTTTGATTATGATGATTAAATCATTTTGGCAAGTGAAAATAAAATTTGGGTCGAATTTGAGATTTTTTTGACCGGAGCCGAATTCTAAAATTTGGCCTCAAATTATATTGTGCAATCAATTTTATTTTTTAGGAAAAAAATATAACTACCAAAGCTTTAAATATGCACTTTCAAACTCGATAAATTCATGAAATTCTTTCAAAAATTCGGGTGGAATTAATTAAATCTGTAATTAATTAATTAATTAGGTAATTAATAGTTAAGATCATAATAATATACAATTTATAATCGCAATTACATGCTAACCACAATTAGAAAACATTACAGTAACAAACACATAAAATGTGGCTTACAATTGCTAATTTAGATATAAATCGTATATTTTTATAGGACCAAATTTATTTATCAATTAGAAATTATCAAATTGATTGGTCAACTTATTTATGGATTACAAAGACACAAGTTGAGGTTTACAATTATAATTTTACAAATTATACATTTTTCATTCACATATTAGTTATTGGTCACAAATTACCCATTTTATGAATTGCAATTACCCACCATTATCTAATAATTGGTCACAATTGCTTTTCATCCACCATCCTTCTACCGCCACCGACACCACCCAAAACATCACCATCACAGTTGTACCCAAACGCTGTTGCCACATCACTGTAGCCGCCGTCACCACCACCACCATCACCACGCCATGACCAACACGATGTCGATCTATAAATCCACCGCACCACCACCTCCCAAGTATATGCATCCACCTCACCGTCACTATCAACCACCACCACCACATCACCTACACATATCTATACACCGCCAAAATCAACAAGCATATTCGCATAGAGATTTAAAGAGGCAAGTATCCCAATGCACTTTATTAGACCCCTTTTGGTCAGATTTTAGTGCAAGACCACCACCAGTGAACTCAAAAGACTCAAAAACCCCAGAGGTGAAGCCGTCAGCCTCCAATTTGATCAAAAATTTTGAGAGAATAATTTGTAGAGATAACTCAACCGTGATATTTGAAATTGAGCCTTGATGGGGGTGGCTAGGTTGTGGTGGCAGGGGGTAATAATAATAATAATAATAATAATAATAATAATAATAATAATAATAATAATAATAATAATAATAATTCAAGCCCTTGTGTTAAGTTGAGTCGGTCTTTCCCCTTTTTCGTGCAACTATCCAAGTTAGAACGCATGCCCCAGGCACCCTAATTAACCAACTGGTCTCTCTTGTCATTAGCTCTAATCTACTCAAAGGGAAACTAGAGAAATTTGGTATGTCAATGTCTTTGTCAGTCATTGATAAGTTGAAAATCATAAACTGCTGTATAGGAATTTTCTTTTATCAACCCCTATTCTTGAAGTGAACTCTAGTCGCTCTCTTTGTTAAATTCCTTTTAGCAAGAATCATGTGAAAGCTATCTCATATTATTATTATTAAAAATTTGAATTACACATGATTTTTTAATTAAAAAATAAGTCTTATACCTGATTTTTGAAGTTGGAAGTTAAAAAACAATGTATGGGTGTTATTTCCACATTTTCTTTTTTGGGGAAATCATAGTTATCCATACATAATTATGAAAATAATGCAAATGATTTCTTTTTCCTTTTTTTTTTTTTTATACATTTGCAAATAATTTGTCATAACCGAAATATTTGCACTCTCCATTCATGTAAACAACCTCTATTTTCGACTCATGGTGAGAGGTTGCAAAATGCAAATGTCGTAATCGAAAAAGTTTCAAAATATTGATTGAAGTAAAATTTTAACATCGTCTAAGAGTCTATGACAGAGGTTGTTCAAGTAATTTGGGGACCTTAGTCAAAAGGTCAATGAAGCCTTTTCGAAAATAATAATAATTAAAAAAACTAATGGAGGAAATGATCTGTAACGCAACAATCCCAAAATTTTATAGAGTTTCACAATGACAATAGTTTAATTACTTTCAAAGGAAAATAACATGATTCAACATATCTCAGTTAGTTCATGTGATTGTTTCTAATGGCATCCATCAACTTCATGCATCTCTACAATACAAAGCATATACGCATGAGCAATAATATCCAGTAGATATTTTGGTGCATGACATGTGCATCTACTCACGCATAGGGCTAGAATCTTCTTTATAATCTAACAGATGAATTCAAATATTATTGTGGTCAATAACAAATTTGCCACCGCAAGTGTCTTTGACATCACATAATCCATTCAAGATCCCATAGTGCATCCATCAGCTCTTCCCAATGGCTCTTGGCAGGGGCGAATCCAAGAGTTTGAGTCAGCACGGGCGGCCGTTGACCATTTACCGTCGATCGCAATAAAATATTAAGAGTTCGTTTAATACCCTTTTTTTATTTTTATTTTTTGTAAAAAATGCATTTTTGAACAGTGATTTAAAGGAGAAAGTGTTGCTACAAATAAAGAAAATTTTTGAATTTGCGAAAAATATTATTTTATTGAAGAATGAGTGATGAAAATAAAAGAGAAAAATGTATTTTGAAAAAAATAAAAATCGAATAAGGCCTAAAGTTTAAATATAACAATTATTTTGTTCAAATTGAACATATATAATTTTGTTATCAGAATAAACATGACTCATCAAATGACATTATTGCCAAGTTTTGTATAATTAAAAGGAAGAGCGCGAATTCTAGTATTTACAATTGAATTTGGCTTAAACCAGTTAAAACCTAATAAATATTTTTTGGTCAAATACCCGGCACAAACTAAGAAGTACCACAATGGCTAGGTTGGTAACTACTTTTGCATGGGTGTACAGGTTCGAATCCTTTTGTCTCCATCATTACAAAAATTTTGGTAAATTTTGTAGAATAAGAATAATGCACCAAAATCCTTAAGTGGGAGATTCGAACCTTAGAAATTAAATATAAATATCCAACCTCCAACCAGCTGGGCTACAAGGAGTATTGATAACAAAGGCGACTTCCAGTAATATATTGTAAAACTTTAAGCTGTTGCCAACAAAAAAAAATTTCCCCTGGCGGATCCAGCACGCGCGGCCGCGCCTGCTCGTCGGGTGCTGGATCCGCGCCTGGCTCTTGGCATTGTTTACATACCCAAATAGCCTATCCTTGGCTACCCTAAGTGACCATCGAAACGTCTCAATCTAGTATGTCTATCTAAACACAAATAGTACAATACAACTTAAAGAGATTCCACTCATCATCCACATGTCCACATCGGATAACATTATAATAAATGAATGTAATCTGAGCATACCACCTACTCAATCATCATTACGCTATCATCAAAGATAAGTCACATAAAAATGTCATATAACATAATAGGGAACAACATAACACAATGCTTTGTACCGTAATTGGGATCTTTGATATTTACCTAAATTTGTTGAATCGAGGATAACACTTGAATGTTTTGAGTACTCACAAGTTAATTACCATATTACTACTTACCTGGATCGACATAGAGGTTAATCATGGTTTTAAATATTTAAAATAGAATTTTCGAGTTTTATAGGGAATTGGGTGTTATCACTAGGGGACACCCTAGAGCAAAGGGCGTCGACACTCCTACTCATAGATGTAGGTTGAATGTTGTCGACACCTTATCTTTGATGTCAATGGGTACCTCAAGTTTTCACTCACATGGGTACCCCATGATAAGTATACATATTACACTTCTCTTGACCATCAAAAGTAGCGTTTGAAAGTGATTATTACGAGTTTGATACTTCATTAAGCTTCTTTATTATTATTTTAAGAGAACATCTGGTATTGGATGAGAACAAACGACAAAAAGGAACAATAATTGATAAAATAAATATTGAAGTTCACATATTTTGGAAGTCGTGGATCAAGGAGTCAAGTTTGGAAGTTGAAGGACCTCAATTACAATATTTAAGAAAAGAAAAATAAAGAACTAATTGCAATCATATTCCCAAATTTTCAAAAAATTACAAATCATTCATTATATTATTATCTTGACCTACAACTTTTTGTGCACGTCCAAAAATAAACATTCAAATTTCGAGTCTTTAACATTTTTAGTGAAATTTTAACCTATAAATACATATTTACCCTGAATCTATAAAACTTGACTTCTGATTTACAAAGCAAGAGGTCAAGATAAGAATATAATGACCAATTTGCAATTTTTTTAAAATTTAGTTTTTTATTTTTTTCATTTCATTTTTTTTGTGTTTTATTTAAATAGGAAGGTAAAATTGTCAAAAATAGATGAAAAGGACTTTCTACGTAATAAAAAGTATAAATAGGGGCAAAAATGTCAAAAAAATGAAAGGTATGAATGTTTCCCACAATGACATTGAAATGTAGGAATGCTTTGTGCTATTTACCCCTTTATTTTTTAGTTTTAATAATTTATCAATTTTTTAGTTTTTGAAATTTTTTTTCCTGAATTTTATTTAAACCCTTATTTCCCATCTTTCAAATGTTTTTTACATTTGCACTAAAAACACTCGCAACGTTAAAAATATTTTTTGAGTTTTATATAATAAGTTTAGCCTTATTTTTAAAAATACATTTCAAAAACACTATACTAAACAAATTACAAAACTAAAAACTGAAAATAGTTTGAAAACAACAAATCAAATGCATCCTAAGTTGTTAAGAACTACAATTGGCTAGGTTTGTCGTGGTATACTTCTCTCTCCTAATCTCTTTTAATGAATCGAGTGACTTTTATGAACTTGCATCTATTTAAGTTTATGCAAGACATGTACTAAGTACACAAGTTGTCCGTCCTTCTCAAACAACCCATATCCACTTGGTGGTATATATATATATATATATATATATATATATA